GTCTACGAGCTGTACTGCAAGCTCCTCCGGATGGGGGGCGGCGCCGAGCTCAGCGGCCCGACGAGCCCGATCGCCTCGCGGCCGGAGGGGCGGCGCCGGACGGCCGAGATGGCGCCCGCGCCCGCCCCTGAGGGCAAGGTCCTGGGCCCCGAGGCGGTGACTTCTCCATGGCCCGAGGGGGGCTGCAGGCCGTCTCTCAGGGTGCAGGCCGTCTCTCAGGCTGCAGGCGCCGTCGTCGTCGTCGCCGTCGTCGTCGTCGTCGTCGTCGTCGTGGCCGTCGTCGTCGTCGTCGTCGTCGTCGTCGTCGTCGTCGTCGTTGAACGCGGGTCGTCCCTCAGGCTGCGCGAGTTACTGGATCATTGCCACTCTCGTCTGTCCCCCGCCCGCTCTGCGTACGATTCGCCCAGCAGGCGTCTCCGCTTGTGCTGAGGGCGCGATTCGCGATCGCCATCGTTGCGACCAAGCAGTTGCCCCATCAGTTTTTTGTGCAGAGACCTCAGATTTCTCAGACAGTCGCTTGCTCATGGAGTCGTCCGATTGGCGTGACACTGTTTGTTGTCTTCGCGTTCGGAATGACCGCCGCCTTGGGGATCGATCTTGGAGGACCTCGGCATGCAGTGCATATGAATCAGTTTGGCCCCCCAGGCCCTGAATCTATGATCATGTGCGTTGAGTTCCCGCTGTCTTCGACACATAATCAAAGGACATCATGGGCAGCACGGGTGAAAAAAGATCCTGGACTTTCTGGCGCAAGCCACTGCTGGAGCTGATGATCGCAGCCCTACCCTGACAAGTAACCAGAGAAAAAGAGAGCGATAGAGCTAGAGAGAGGGGAAGAGAAAGAGAGAGAGAGAGAGAGAGAGACAACCAACACAGATAGCGATATTACAAACAACATAAATATCGAAAAACGGGAAAAAGAGAAAGAGAGAGAGAGAGAGGGATGCAGAGGGACAGGATCAGGCTTCGGAAACTTAGGGATTCGTCAGAAAAAGTCCAGGGCCGGGCAAGCCCCCAAGGAATGCATTCTTAATATCGATGAGAGCTCGTTTTCGTAGCCGTCCCCAGGATCAACGGGACGGCTGTCCCTGGGGCTCCGCAGCATCAGGTAGCAGCAGGCAGCAGCAGGCAGCAGCAGGCAAAATCAGGCAGCATCAGGCCATCAGGTAGCAGCGGTAGGCAGCAAGCAGCAGGCAGCAGCAACAGGCAGCAGCAGGATGAAGCACGCATGCAGCACCGGTCCCCTCCGGGATGTGCTGAGCCAGCGAAATTCGCTAAGAACATGTTTCTGGGGAGTCGGTTTCGGGAGTCGCTTGGGAGCGCCGGATGGGGACACCGGTTCCAGGCATTCGGGGATACCCGTTCCCAGCATAATTACCTGTCCCTGGCATTCTGGGGACTGGTGTCCCTGGAATGCTGGTGTCCCCAGAATGTCGGGGGCCAGTGCCCCCGGAATACCAGGGACAGTTGTTCCCCAGAATGCCCGGGGGCTGGTGTTCCCAGAATTCCTGGGACTGAAGCCCCTGGAATGCCAGGGACAGACGGTGTCCCCAGCGCCAGGGACCGGTGTCCCCGGAATGTCGGGGACAGTACGTCCCCAGCGAATTGTGGGGACATTTGTCCATCGGATTGGTTGTCGCTGTTGCTGACTCCCCACTTTCCGGGGACGTCCCTGACTTCGCAGAAGGAGCGGCGAGCAGCAGCGCGTCGCGCAGAACAAGAAGCATGTTTTTGTTTGTTGTGTGTGAGTGTGAGAGGTTATGCGTGTCTGTGTGTGTACGTGTGTGTGTGTGTGTGCGTGTGTGCGTGTGTGCGTGTGTGTGTGCCTCGCCAGACCCTCGTGGCTTACTCGCCAGCTCAGGTAATTCACCCAACAGTGTTTTTCTCTAAGGCCCCCGGCACGGGTGAAACATGCCTGGCCGCGGGTGACACTTCAAAAGGCAAGGGGCCATGCCCATGTCCACCGCCTGTAGAGGTGGGGCTGGCTACGAATCAGGAGTGGCCCCTCGCCAGAGCGATTCTTGGCGAGTGCCCTCGCGTGTTCCTGTCACTGGCTTGCACACTTGGCTTTGCCCCCCCCCCCCCCGCGACCCGGCGCCCAGGTCGGCCTGGCCAGGACCCCAGGCCGCCTCCGCTGGAGCAAAGGCATGACCGCGCTTCGCGCTCCGCGGCGTGAGCCCTGGGTCGGGGAGAGGAGGCGCATTCGGGAGCCGGGTCAGCCAGAGCAGCGGCTCTTGCAGGACCCTGCAGAGCCAGCTGGGCGGGTGCTCCTGGGCGGTGGCCCGAATGAGGGGTGCAGAAAAGGCCCGAAAGGGGCCTTTTAGGGCCGCCCAAAAGGGGCCCCAAAGGGCGCCTTTGGGGCCCTTTTCTTCACCCCCCACCTGGGTCACCCCGCAAATAGCACCCGCCCGAGCCAGGGGCGCATTGTCCTGGGACAGGTCGCAGGATCCTGCAGGATCCTGCAAGGCCTGACTGACCTGGGTTTGGATTGATCCGGGCCAGTCGATCCCCGACGCACCACCACCACCGCCTGCCCCCTCTTCGAAATGAATAGCACTGATCGCACGCGAAACTGTCCAGTTCGTTCCAGCCCAGCCAAGTTCTTGGCGGCGAGCCGGGGGGGGGGTGAAGTGAGAAGGAGAAGGCCTTCTCAGAAGGCTCGGGAGCCCCCCAACCTTCTGAGAAGTTTTCTCAGCCTTCCTTGAAGACACAGAACACTTACCAGAAGGTCGGAGGGATTCTGAAAAGTCCCGCCGCCTTCTGAGAAGGCCTTCTCGTTCTCACTTCCCCCCCCTCGCTGGCCGCCGAAAGTTCAGCGCACCCCCTGCCTCAGGTCCGTGCCCCGCGCCAAAGGTGCAGAAGTTCGGTGAGGGTGATGCCAGGTGGTGGTGGTGGTGGGATTTGTTTTGTTTTGGCGGGACAACGTCGCAGTCGGGTTTCCAGACTCTCTGGGCCATCCCTAATTGGGTTTCGAGACTCCCAGGGCCATCCCTGGGGAGTTCGACGGCCGATTCCCCCGGCCCCGATGTGCAGCGATGCTTCGGGGCTCGCGCTGCATGGCGACGAGGGAGCGCCAATTATTCGCACCAGATAGTAGCCCCAAAGAGTGGATATCCTGGACTGGAATCTCTGCATACACTCCTTGCCTGCCAGATCCTTCTCTCTCACTCTCTCCCTTTCTCTCTTTTGCGTATATTCTATATACATATAGCAACTAGTCTCCGTTTGCTCGATCTGCCCTCACACCTCCCTCAGCACTCGATTGTCCCCGACCTACTCTCAAGCAGTATACACGAGTGTTCGTGTGTGTGTGTGTCTCTCTCTCTCTCTCTCTCTTCCTCCATGTTTTTTTCGTTTTCTTTCTTTCTCTGTCTTTCTCTCCATGTCCCTCTTTCTCTCGCTCTCTCTCTTTTTATTTGTACAACTTCGTCCTAGGCTCTCTGATTTGCAAATCCTAGATTTATCATATACCCTCTCAGTTTGACCTCCCCATGCATCTTTCAATGCTATATGTGACAATGGTCGCAAGGACTGTCTGTCTGTCTGTCTGTCTGTCTGTCTGTCTGTCTGTCTGTCTGTCTGTCTGTTTGTCTGTCTGTCTGTCTGTCTGTCTGTCTGTCTGTCTGTCTGTCTGTCTGTCTGTCTCTCTCTCACTCTCTCGCTCTCTTCAATCCCTGGGGGCAGTTCTGTTCGCAACTCTCTGGCATTTGTATTTTTTACGATCAAAGACTCAGGCGCTTGGCCATAACCAAGACATCCAGAACCATAGAACCTTACGCTGCCAGGAATGACGGACACCGGGAAGGCAGAAACCCATCAAACTTTGCACTGCCAGGGACCCTGGAATTGAGAATCGAGAACCCGGGAACCCAGCCGCCCAGCCTACCAAACCGGTAACGTGGGAGCCCAGTATACTTGCCAGGAACCCCGGAACACACCGACTCAGGAGCCCTGAACCAGGAACCGGGGACCCGGGAACATACCGAAATCAGCCCGGAACCAGGAATCAGGAACCCAGAAACCGGGAACCCGGAACCCAGGAGCTCAGCCGCTTGCCGAAGTCGCCCCGGAGGTTTCGCCAAATCCTTCAGTCTCCGCGAGGATCCTCTTCAGTGCAAGCGCTTATTGCGTAACAGCCAGGTGGGGCCACATTTTGTTTGTTTAAACGCTTCGCTCATTCCGCGGGCCTGTTTCGCATCACTGTGGCTGCGTGGTGGTGTGCTTGTGCCCAGGGGGACCGGTAAGGCAGACAGGAATGTCCTCGGGGAGATCTTCGGGGATGTGGCTCCCGCCTTGTCGAGGGGAGCCGACCGACCAACTGCCCCAGGGCGCCAATATGGCTCAAGAGAGCTCCAGCAGAGTTTCGAGACGTACTCCAGATTTCGTAATAAAGGGAGGGGGGTCTCATTTCGGGGGGGGGCCTCTTCCAGGCTATCTTGGAGGGCTCTTCCAGGCTATCTTGGGGGACGATGTTTTGGAAGGTTCTCCCACGGGGGGGGTCTGAAATGACTTGTCTTGGAGGGTCCAGACCCCCTCCCTTTTATTACGAAATCTGGAGTACTTGGGTTGTGGGTCAGAGTCCTCATGGATGCTTCTTGAGGTCTCTTCGGAGGGCTCTCGGGAACCTCTGGGGAGCAGCTTTGGGGCCTCTGGGGAGCCTCTTGGGGGCTTCTTGGGGACTTCTTGGTGCTTCCTGGGGTCTTGTTGGAGGTCTTGGGGGTCTCTTTTGGGGCCTCTTGGGTATCTCTTGGTGCCTTTTGGGGGGCTCTTGGAGGCCTCCGGGAGTTTCCTGGGCGCTTCTTGTGGCCGAATGCTCGAACTGTCCGTTCGGGTTCCCCCTCTGGGCCCCCTCTTCGGGCCATCCTGGGGCAGTCTTAGGACAATCTTAGGGCCATCTTGGGCCGTCTTAGGGCCATCTTGGGCCATGTGGGGGCCCTCTTGGAGGTTTTTGTTGGTCCGTCTTGGAGCGATCCTGGGGCTTCTTGCGCCGTCCAGGGCGGTCGGCAGCTTGAATAGGCGGTACCGCCAACATCGTCCGAAAACCCACGCAACATTCATAGTTTTTGCGTTTCCTGGGCCTCTCGAAGCTCTTGGCCTGAGGCCGTGGGGCCTTCCTTCAGTGCAAGCGCTGATTTGGGGAGCAGCCAGGTGGGGCCATGTTTTGTTTTTTCCCTGGGAGGGGCCAGGTGGTGGTGCTGCTGCTGCTGCTCCGATGCAGGAGTTTTCGTTCTCCAGGACCCGGGGGGTCGCGATTGCGCGAAGGTAGCTGCGCTTTGTGCCTGGCGCGGCGCGACGCGCGGCGGTAGGTGGCCTGATATCCGCCCATCGGGGGCCTGGCCATGATCGCTGCAGGCGAGCAGTCGGTATCCTCCCACCCGTAATTACCGAGGCCGAGGGGGCTACCTGATCGACTTGCAGGAGGAGGACGGTTGCCGGCGGAGGGCAGCTCTTTCACCCCTCACGCCTATCGGGGTGGGGGAGAGGATGGAAGAGAGAGGAGGAAGAGGAAGAGGAAGAGGCAGAGGATGAGGATGATGATGAGGATGAGGATGAGGATGGCGATGAGGACGACGATGCTGCTGCTGATGATGACAATCATAGTTATATGATACTGGTGATGCTGCTGATGATGATGATGCTGAAGATGATGAGGATGCTCATGATGATGCGAATGATGATGATGATGATGATGATGATGATGATGATGATGATGATGATGATGATGGTGGTGATGATGATGATGATGATATGGTGATGACGATGTCTATGAGGATGAGATGATGATGATGATGATGATGATGACAATGATGATGATGATGATGATGATGATGATGATGATGATGATGATGATGATCTCGATGATGATGATGAATATGAGGATGTTGATGATGATAATGATGATGATGATGGTGGTGGTGATGATGATGGTGATTCTGATGGTGAACTTGATGATGATGAGGAGGAGGAGGGTAGGAGGAGGATGAGGAGGACGTGGGGGATGAGGAACTTGATAGTGACGATGATCACGGTGGTGATGATGATTCTGTCAATGAAGATGATGGTGTTGTTGCTGATGATGATGCTGCTGATGCCGATGGCGATGACGATGACAATGGTGCTGCTGATAATGAGGATATTGATGTGATGGACATATTGCTGGTGATGGCGATGGTGATGGTGATGGTGATGGTGGTGGCAAGGGTGATACTGATGGTGGTAAAGATGAGGCTGCTGATGATGATGCTGATGATGATGCTGCTGATGATGATGCTGATGATGCTGATGCTGATGATGATGACGATGATGATGCTGGCGACGACTGTTTTGCTGGTGATGATGATGGTGATGATGCTTTTGATGACGATGGTGATTGTGATGATGATGCTCACGATGATGCTGATTCTGATTATGGCGCTGACGGTGAAGACGCTGATGAAGATGATGACGTTGATACTTTTGCTGATGATGCAGACGATGATGACGATGCTGATGATCATGAGGCTGATGACGATGCTGATGATGATGCTGATGACGATGATGCTATTGATGACTATGATGATGCTGATGATGAGGATGATGATGCTGATGATGCTGATGATGCTGATGATGACGATGATGCTGATGCTGCTGATGATGATATTGATGATGCTGATGCTGATGCTGCTGAGTGTGCTGATGATGCTGCTGATGCTGATGCTGGTGGTGATGATGACGATGGTGATGACGATTATGATGATGATGCTGCTTCAGATGATGATGATGATAGCGATGCTGAGGGTGAACATGATGATGCTGATCATGGTAAGGCTGCTGATGCTGATCCTGCTGATGCTGATGATGATGTTGATTATGCTGATGCTGCTGCTGCTGATGATGATGATGCTGGTGACGATGATGATGGCCGTGATGATGATGAGGATGATGATGATGATTATGATGATGATTATGATGATGATGATTATGATGATGATAATGTTGATGCTGATGATGGTGGTGATGATGATGCTGCTGCTGATGATGCTGATGCTGATGCTGATGCTGCTGATGATGATGATTATGATGATGATGATGCTGCTGCTGATGATGATGATGATGATGATGATGATGATGATGATGATGATGATGACGATGACGATGACGATGCCGATGACGTCGATGTCGACGGCGACCAGGAGGAGGAGGAATAAGAGGAGGAAGATGAGGAGGAGGAGGAAGAGGAGGAGGAGGAGGAGGAGGAGGAGGAGGAGGAGGAGTGGGATGAGGAGGAGGATGCGGCTGGGGAGAAGGAGGAGGAGGAGGAGGAGGAGGAGGAGGAGGAGGAGGAGGAGGAGGTGAAGCTCCACCGAAGGCTCCAGTGGCTGCGCTCGCATGCGGTTCCGCTCCCATTTCGGCACACCCCTCACACGTTTCGTGGCTCTATAGGGAGCTTCGCTGAAGGCCCCAGTGGCTGCGTTCGCATGCGGTTCCACTCCCATGTGGGCACACCCCTCACACGTTTCG